TTAGTGAAATAAACCAGTCCTAAAGGGACAAATAACACATGTTCTCCCTGATTTGTGAGAACTGAGAGAGCACCTAAAATGAAATCTGTAGAGGTGAAATTGAGACTTCAAGAATGGATGACTTGAGCAGTCCTTGTCTTGTCTGTCAAGTTTCAGTTTTCTCTTTTTCTTCATACTATTTCTTGAACTCTTTACTTAACATAGAATTAGTCATATGAGTATAAAGTCAACTGAACATAGATCTCAGTAAAAAATAAGAATGGGAATAAGAAAGGGAGGAGGCAGTTTGTAACTGTAAAGCTGTATAAAGCTGTTTTTCATACATTCCTATGGACTACTTCTAAGGGTACAGTTTAAAAACTTGTCATGGACTCCAAATCCCATTAAGCATGGTGGTAAAAATGCCTTCTTGTTAAAGTGATCATATTAAGTTTTAAGGTGATTTTATATATATATATATATATATGATTAAGTGTTAAATTGATCATATAAATAGGATCAAGTATCAGGTAATAATAGATAGAATTAAAAAGGAGAAAATGTTCCAACATGGGAAGCAGCCCACACAGCAGACTCAGAATGACAATCGCTTTATGTAACACTCTGACCTCACAATCAACCCTTAAGGCATCCTGGTCTGTCTGAGAAGCCCATGAGAGCATTTCAGGCATGGAAAGCCAAGACACTGTGGCAAAAATGTTCTACATGAAAGATCTCTGTGAGAACCCAGTGGAAAGAAGTGGCCATCAAAGAAGGTTGTCCTTTTCTTTAAAGGGAAGAGAGAACTTCCACTTTGCTTATGGCCTTGCCCAAATACTGATGGAGTTTGTGGACTCAAAGGTTTTCAGAGCCTAGGCAGCTCATGTCAAGTCTTAGGTGGTCACTGATGTCATACATAAGAGTATTAATTGTTAAATACACAACAGGAGTCACTGTGCACTAACTTTCCATGCAGGACCTCTGTTCTCAATGAGTTTTTTTGGTGTGCATGTATGCAAATTGTTGAAATCTTTACTTGGTATAGAGTTAGTCTTCTGTGTACAAAGTTAATTGAAAATTCATTCATTCATTGAAAATGAATTAATGAATTAATGGAGAATGGGGCTGGGAAGGGGAGAGGGAGGAGGAGGAGGGGTGGGAGGGCAGGTATGGTGGGAATAATAACTTTGTTCCTAAAGTTGTACTTACGAAATTTGTAATCCTTGAAAAATAAATTTAAAAGAAAATTATTTGAGAGAGAGAAACAAAGAAAAATAGCTTTTATCTATGGGTTCAGATCCAAAATGCTCACAACGGCTTTGGTGGGGCTGGACTGTTAACAGGAATTGGGATCACAATCGAGATCTTCCAAGTGTGTGGCAAGTATCCAATTACTTGGGCCACCACACAATTGATTTTTCTTAGGGTTTGCGTTATCAGGAAGCTGGACATTGAACCAAGGTGCTCTTGTGTAGACTGCCCCATTTTTTTTTTTTTAATTTAGTTATACAACTGGAAGGCAGAGATACAGAGAGAGGGGGGAATGAGTGAGAGATCGTCCATCCTCTGGTTCACTCCCAAATGGCCTCAACTGCAGGGGATGGGCAGGGCCATATCTAGGAGCTAGGATATTCTTCCAGGTCTCCCATATGGGTGAGCTGCCCAAGCACTTAAGCCATCCTCTGCTGTTTTCCAAGGCCATTTCCAGGGAGTTGGCTCTGAAGCGGAGCAGTCCAGACACAAAGCAGTGCCCATATTGGATGCAGGCAGTGACTTAACCCACTATGCCACAACGCCAGTCCGAAATGCGGAATCTTAATCATCTTTCAAGCAAGAGTGTAATATCTAGGCAAAAAAAGGGAGCACTGAACCAAAGGCAGAGACTGTGAAACAATTTACTCTGTTGAGCTTGTTTTTCACAGGATGTTCCAGAAAAGTTTATCTTGTAACACCGTACTTAAAGGGCACCAGACCAGTACAAAGAATGGTTAAAGAACTTCAATAAACCACGTTGAGTCAGATTTTGAACATACAATGCACATACACTACAAGCAGGGACCGCCTTCCTGCTCCCTGTTTCCTACATCTTGGACACTGCTCCAATTCTTGCCATAAAGGCCTTGGCAAACTACTGAGAGGCATTCTTTGGAGAACAATCCCTTCCCACTATCTACTTTTTACAAGCAAATGAGCAACTTCCACTTGAGGCTGATTAACTGGTGACATCCCAACTAATGGATGTCTTGCAGCCTTAACTGCTAGGCCAAATGCCCATCCTATATTTCTCTTTTAAATAATGTTTTACAGAGAATTGCACTGATGTGGAAAATATCCTCAGCACAGCACTCAGGAATGGTTGTGAAAGTGACTTTATTATTGGCCTTGCAAGATCCCTGTCTCAGGAGTAGGCGCAGCCCAAGCAATTACAGCATGTATAATCTAGCATAGAGGTCCCTCCCCGGTTCCTCTTTGGCTGAGTACTATGGGAGTACCATCTTCCCAGATATCACCTAAGTTACAGTTATCTTCTTCCTTCCTTCTCTGTACTTTAATTTCCTCTTGTGAGTTGGCTACTATTAATAATCCTAGTGAGTTTTGCTTTATCTGCAAGTCAGCTAACACTAATTTTCCATTCTGTGTTGAAAAGGGACCCTAGACATTTTCTTATAACTGACATATGTGAAAATACAGCTAACTATATAATGAATAGTAGACAGTGAAAACCCTTTGATGCAGTAACTGGAATGCCTGGGTTCAATGCCTGCTTCCAGCTCCTGACTCTTTTTGCTAGCAGACTCTGGGAGGCAGCAGTGATGGCTCAAAATAATCCAGTTCCAGTTTCTCGCCAAGCCAATGCAGGCATCTGGAGAGTAAGTCAGTGGATGAGAGCTCTCTCTCTCTCTCTCTCCCTCAAAAGACAAAAACAACAACAACAACAACAAAAATCTATCTCCTAAATAAAGTAAGATGCATGCCAAGTTCTAGCTAAAGAGATATGCAATACTTGCTTATAACATAGAAAACTTAAAATTAACTTAAATATCTATTATTAGTGGATTTGGTTCAGTAAGTTATTCATGCAATAGAACATTATGTAGTCATTTAAATGACATGACAAAAGTGGGGCCAGCACTAAGGTGTAGCCAATAAAGCTGTACCTATGAAGATAGCATCCCATATGGGTGCAGGTTCATGTCCCAGCTGTTCCACTTCCAATCCAGCTCCATGATAATGGCCTAGGAAAAGCAGTGGAAGATGGCACAAGTGTCTGGGCCCCTGTCAACCATGTGAGAGACTTGGGGGAAGCTCCTGGCTCCTGGCTCTGTAGCTATCTGAGAGTGAACCAGTTGATGGAAGCTCTCTCTCTCTTTCAAATAAATAAATAAATCTTTAAAAAATGATGTGGTGGGGCCTGCACTGTGGCATAGCAAGTAAAGCTGACGCCTGCAGTGCCAGCATCCCATATGGGCACCAGTTTGAGTCCCGACTGCTCCATATCCAATCCAGCTCTCTGCTATGGCCTGAGAAAGGAGAATATGGCCGAACTGTCTGGGCCCCTGCAGCCATGTGGGAGACCCGGAAGAAGCTCTGGTTTTGCAGCAACTTTGGCCACTGGGGAGTGAATCATCGATGGAACACCCCTGCCCACACCTCTCTGTAAATCTGCCATTCAAATAATTAAATAAACCTTAAATAAATCTTTAAAAAAAAAACCAAAAATTATGTGGGAAAATTATATTTAGTGGCAATAAAGGAACTTCACAATATCCTAATTAAAGAAAGCAGGTGAGGGCAGGTATTGTAGCTTAGCAGGTTAAGCCCCTGCCTGGGACGCCCACTTCCCATACTGGGGTGCTGATTTGAGTTCTGCTACTCTGCTTCCAGTCCAGCTTCCTGCTAATGTGTTCTGGGAAGCAGGAGATGACAGCTTTTAAGTGTCTGGGTTCCTGTCATCCAGGTTGGTTTTGAAATGGCTCAGGTCCCAGTATTGCAGGCATTTGGGGAATGAACTCCTGGATGGAAAATCTCTTTGCCATGCCACTCTTTCAACATGATATAGTCCAGTTTTCATTTTAAAATATTGAATGTATACATATACACGTATATATCATACATACATACATATATGTATATGAACACTTATTTGATTTTTTATTTGTATTATTTACACTGGAAAACAAAATTATTAAAAACAAGTGATACCAGATTTCCCGGTGTTACATATGAGGGAAAAATTCAAGTAACTCGATAACAACGCTCACAACATTTAGTGGATGATCAATAAACATTAGCCTCTCTTTCTTTCTTAACCACAGGAGGTCACCAGATAAAAAATAGTAGATAGGGGATACTGTTGAAGAATTCTATTGACCCATAGGTTTGCATCGGAGGAGATTGTCTACCGCTTAAACCATCAACTGGCACAATACAAAAAATTGCTTGTGCAGAATATCCGGTCGTTGTGTTACTAACAGCATAGGCTGGGAAAGGGAGAGGTGCGGCGGGGGAGGACACATGCAAATCTCAGCGCACCGCCCCCTTGACAGCTCCCTGGCTGTTCTTTTAGTGACTGAGGGGTGACTGGGACGCCTCACAGCGCACACCGCTTAGGGAGAAGCAGAACTTCAAAAAGGGCATCACTTTTTGAGGATCCGGAGCAGCAGTGCAGAGGAGGGGAGCGCCCGCTCCGACCGCCTGCGAACGTGCGAGCACTCAGGGCTCCCGGCTCTCCCTCAGTAAGGACAACCTCGTATCTGCCGCTATGACAGAGCGGGCTTGTGCTCGGGGAACCTACCTGGCCTCCGCGGCCCAGCACCGACACCCCCGCCTCGGCCCAAATCCGGCGCAAGCCCCCGCTGGACGCCCTCGCGGCCACCACGTGCGCGTCGCCGCTGGGGGGCGGGGCGCCGGCGCCGGGGCGGGGCTCCAGCTGCGCGCGCGGGCGGGGGCGGGGCGCGCACCGCCCTGCGCTCCTCCCTCTTCCGCGCCCAGGCCCGCGGCGCGCCGAGCTCCTCCCCCCCGGCTCGGGCTCTCTCCCCTCCCCTCGCGGCCGTTCCTCCCTGCCCCCTGCTCCTCTTCCTCGGTGAGGCGCTCCTCCAGCAGGCAAGCAGCATGGCGGCCGTGGAGGCGCGCGTGTGCGAGACGGACGGCTGCAGCAGCGAGGCCAAGCTCCAGTGTCCCACCTGCATCAAGCTGGGTATTCAGGGCTCGTACTTCTGCTCGCAGGTAGACACCCGCTCGCCGGCGCCGCTGCCGGGCCCCCTCCTTCCTGCTCTGTCCCCCTCCCTTCCCCATTTGCCCTCGCGGCCGCCGGGACGCGCTCCTCCTCTTCCTCCTGCCGCGCTTCCTCCTCCCCCCGCCCGCGGCGTCGCCGCCCCTCCGGCCTCTGGGGGTCCCGGGGCTCCGGCGGCCGGGGTCGCTCCGGGCCCACGCGGGGGCGGGGGCGCGGTCTCGGCGGCCACGTGAGCCGGGGCGGAAGCGGACTTGCTCCGGGTCGCCCGGCCGCCCCGGGGCGCCGCGTTAGGGGCAGGTTCTCGCCGCAGGGGCGGGGGCTGCCAGGTGTGTGGGCTGTCCCGGGCAGGTAGGGGCGGCTCCGGGGCGCGGCAGGCTGCGGGGACGGGTAGTCCCTGGCGTCCGAAGCGACCCGCCGCAGGGCGTTGTGGTTTGGGTCGCTTCAGGAGGGTTGAGCCTCGGAGCGGAAGGAGGTTCGCTCCAGCCTTACTTCTTTGTGTTTAACTACCGCGCTTGGACACTTGAGCAACTTTGGGGTTGGGGGTAGAGAGGGGTCTGTGTAGTTCCTTGCTTCTGTTACTGCATCCAGGATTATTAACTGAGAAAACCCTAAATGAACGGATGAGTCATCGCTGTTACTCAATTTCCCACCGAGTCAGCCCTCGAGGGTTATGCTAAAGTCTGGAGTGCTTTTCAATCAGTTTTGTGCAGTGGAGCGAACCCGGCGTTGCGTGGGGTCCCGCGTGGAGAGTGTGCTCGTGTTTGTGCTTCCTGAAGGGTACTAGGGTTCCAGCTGCATTCGGAGACCCAGTAGAAGAGAGCAGGTTGGTTAGGAGTCCAGTGTTAGGCTGGTTCATTCGTGTGCGAGACTGAGTTAGCCAAGTTCCTTCATCTTTCTGAGTTTCGGTGTTCACCCTGTAGAGAGGGCGATGAAGATCGCTTTCCTTGTGTTTGACATGTTGGTTCTCATCTCCGGTGAACGTGAAATGCTGATACAATGTAAGACCTTGTTTTTTATTTTTAAAGGGTGCCAGTACGGTTTCACGCTGCCATACATAACAGTGTAAATGCATAGCATAAAAGCAAATGCAATAAAACAGAAAATACAAATAAGTAGTTTAAAGCATAAAATGGATAAAAACGTAAACATATGAAAGTCAATATATAAATGCAATCCTAAGGTCACAATACTTGCAGATGATCGCTTTAAGATCTTAGCTGTTATATAGGTCTTGTTTTAGATAGGATATAATCTTTGATGATATCATTTGGAAAAAGTTACACATGGAGTGCTTTATCTAAAAATAGCCTCGGGTCTACTCAACAAGCCAAACCCAATACAGATCTTTTGGATTCTTTAAATGTTCATATTCTTATTTATTGAGGTCCATCTGGGATCTGGACCTAAACGATAGTTTGCCTTTGAAAATTGCCTCGCTTCTGAGACGAGTAATACAGTTTACAGTGTTTAAAAGTACGTAGCGTTTTCTAGTGGTGAGTGAATTAATGCGTACTGACACTTCGCTGTAAAATTTTTCAAACAGTAATACGAAATCGTGCTCAACAAGCTTAGGTGACATTCAGTAGAGCATTGAATCACTGGGGTTTGTGGGAAAATAACTGACACATTTGTGGAAACCTGTCAGGTTTATTCAGTGTAATAGGATGGGGCTATTCCATGTTGGATTTGCAGGTGTATTTCTGGTGTCTGTAAGTCAAACATTTCCAGAGTGGTCTCACAGCTATCTTTCTCCTCATTTGTATTACCACCTCCCACAGTCTGGTTTTAAAATTTTACCTGTTCATTTTATTTATTTGAAAGAGACAGAGATCTGCCATCCACTGGTTCGTTCCCCAAATGCTGGCAATAGCTAGGACTGGAACAAGCTGTTCGCAGAGGCCAAAGCTGAGAACTCAGTCCAGGTCTTCCAAGTGGGTGCCAAGGACCAAAAACTTGAACCATCACCTGTTACCTCCTGGTACATGTGTTAGCAAGAAAACTCACTCCCAGGTCGCCAGAAACTGCCATACCCCAATCAGCTTTTAAAATAGAGTTCCCATTGCTTTAGGATTGCAGTCCCACAGGCAGGATACTCTTCTGAGTCAAGCCTTGCTTTCTTGCTCTGGGTAGAGGCTGTGTTTATGTTCTTTACCCAGAATGTCATCTGTTGTTTTCTGAATTCACAACTTTCCTTTCAATCCCAGCTTGCAACCTTGATCAAGTCTCTTTTTATGAGCCTGTTTCCACATCTGTGGTGAAAATAGGGTTTTCCTTTGCTGCTTCTCTGATCATTTCCTAGCGAGGAGTGTTCTCAGCCGTGCCCCTTGCATCTCTGGTCCTTGCCCAGCTTGTCTTTGAGAGCAGATTGCAAAATTCTTCCAGGCCTTCCCAGCACAGAAGTAATGCTACCAATTATTCTGTCATATTGCATTGTATATTTCCTTTACAACATTTTATACAATCTGTAGTCACCATACTTGTTAGAAAACAAAACTTTCTGGGTCAATAGCCTAGTGGTTAAGAAGCCTACATTGTGTATTGTAGTGCTCCTTTGATTCTGGGCTCCACGCCCCATCCCCAGCTTCCTGCTAAGAGCACTGTAGTAGGCAGCAGGTAATTGTTTATGTAGTTGGGTCCCTATCATCTATATAGAAGACATAGATGGAGTTCCTGGCTCCTGGCTTTGTCCTGGCTGTAGTGGACAATTGAGGAGTCAAAAAATGGATAGGAACTCTGTCTGCCTCTTGAATTAAAACAAAACAAAATGAACTAATCAGATGAACTTCCTGCATAAGCTGTCTTATTCATTGTCCTATCATTTCATAGTACAATGCTTTGTATGCTGAAGGTCAGGAAGTGTTTTCAGTCAATGAATAAATGTATCAAAAGGCAGAAGTAGAGGGGTGCTGCATTTGAATCTCAACTCTACCATTTGCTAACTGTGTGACTTTGGAAAATAAGCTCTGTTACATCCTTTAAACATGGGCCCCATTAGTAGTGCCTATCTTATGGTTTTGGGAAAGAGAAAATGCTTATATGTAAGGCACTTAGCACATTAAACTTCATAAATTTTGGCTCTTTTTTATTTTTAAACCATACTTTGTGTTTAATGAAGTAGAGATGTTTATATCTAAATTTTAATATGTTTTGATCCTTTAAAGGAGTAGAAGCTGTTTTACTTGAAAATTGAACTCTCCAAGATTTCCTGGTGTTTGGTTGTTTTTCTTGATACAAGTATTGATTCCTAAAAGTAGTGTGTGTATGTGTTGTCTTCAGTTTTTTGAGGATAGAGGCTGTGTTTTGCACATGGCACTCAGTTCATTAAATCGAAGAAATCAATGGTTCTGCTTTGGAAAGCAGACAGATAGATTCTGCACTTAAGTATCCTCTGTGAAGGCTGAATGGTGTAATGTGTTATCGATGTTCTGCTGTTTATTCACTTATGGTTGAATTTAATTTCCTTTCCATTTTTAAGCTGCTGTTTAACTTAGTGAATAGCAAGGAACTTGCTGTCTTGTCCTGCGTTAAAGGATCAGCTGAGAACTTGAGTGATGTGTAACTGTTTATAGGGCAGTAGAACTTGGAAGGAAGTAAGTGTAGTGTGAATGGAAGGAGGCTGAGTTTGGAGTAGGACTTTGGTTTAAATCTTTGCTACTGTGTCCTTGGGTCCTTGTCATCTTCTGATTTATAAGAGAAGGCTATCTGGAGAATTCTCTAAATGGAATTGAGGGGAAAGTCAATAAAAGGGTATGCAAAGTGCCTTACAGTGTTCAGTAAATGGTTTTATTATACGTGTAACTTCATAAATAATGCTTTTGAAATCAGTTCTAAGGAAAGCTTTTAAAAATTTGGGAAGCATTATTTATGAACAAGTTGAACAAATTGTTGCAGCACGTTGTTTCAAAGAAAGTGGCAGGTAAGGTGATTAATTGAATCTTGGAGGTTGAAGTTGGAAGCTGAGGAAGGAATTGCCTTTCTGATATGTGGCAGTCTGTGAGCCACAGCCCTGCTAGGTGAAACTGTTCCTTATTCAGTAACAGAGTTCCCAACAATGCAGGATGTTTTGGAATTCATCTTCATCATCAGTGGAGATAGTGCTACTTTCTACTTTTTATTTGTGGGGGTTTTCTTTAAATTCTTAAATTGCTCATATTGCTTCAGACCACCCTTAGATAATTGCAGTAAGGTAGGCGAGTTTGAGTACAGCTGTTGGAGTTTGTAAGCAAATGTATATACGATTTTTTAAAACCAAGTAATTTCACTAGCTGTTTATTGTAGAAAAATACTAAATACAAGTAAAACCCATTAGTTACCCAGAGATAATTTCTTTGAAATTTTTGGTGCATATTGTCATAAACATATTTGTATATTACATACATTTATGTGCATGTGCTTCTGTATATTTTTACTAAAATGGCACCATGCCTTATGTAATCTCACCAAATTTCCCCAACCTTGTGTCTTGACCAGTATGTTGGGAATGTTATGTCTGGCTACATTTACGTTATCCTTTGTAAATGCTGAATAGTTCGTTGTTATGGATGTGCTGTTGTTGTTCACTTGTGGTGGAATATAGTTTTTTTCCAATTAAAGTATTTTTTTCATGTCATAAGTTTATTTACAGACATATCCAGTATGCTATGAGTTTGAGTTTGATCCATTTTTCAAAGAGAGAAATGCTCTTCATTATCTGTTAAATGAATGAACTAAAGCTTCCTTTTTTTGTAAGCGGTTGGTGGCATACTATGAAGAAAAGTGCAGAATCCAAATCCAAAATATAAAGTTACCACTATTAGCAGCCTCCACTTGTTTTCCACTGAAAATGGCAAATTCTTCTCTGGACTCATTGTGGCTCCTACAGACCACATAGGTTGAGCCTCTCAATGCTCTGTCCCAACATGGTGGTGTTGGAACCTCTGTGTGAGACACAGAGGAGGAAGAAATGGCAGCACCACACCAAGCTTTGCTCTTTTCATGACCTTGTTCCCGTGTC